AGGAAACTGAATGCTCAGGCGTGGTGCTGGGCGTGGTGAGTGCAGTCACAGACAAGCACAGCCAAAGGAACTGGAAAAACCACAGTTTCACTCGACTGCTGTCCTGGCACAGCCATAGGGGAACCCAGAAGAGCACAGCTGGTGACCAGCACCAGGCCAGGTTTATCTCACCAGGTGAGCGCTCCCCCCTTGGGAAATTGCCTTCCTCCAGTCCAGGGGCTCTCAGTGCCACCCTGGCAGCTCTTAGGAATTGTGTATAGTGCCAGAGGCTCCTCCTGCGGGGAGGGGTCTGACAGGCTTGGGGAGGATTTGGTAGTTTGTGGAGCTACCTCAGTGAACAGGTGCCACTTGAGGCAAGTTTGAAATTCGTGTTCAAAGTTAGAAAACAAAAAAGGAAGAAGGCTTGCACCAAAGAGATAAACAGATAAAGGTGTGAGGTGAAGGGTGTATCAGCGGCTACATGGGGGACATCCATCAGGCTGTGCAATTTTAGTGTCTCACCATTTGGTCAATTATACCTCGATCGAGCTGAGAACAATTTCCTGAAGCCTGACTGCAATGTGCTTATAACAAAGCACAAATAGTCTCATTGAACAAAATAAATGTTCCGTCCCAGTCACTTAAATATGTACATAAATATACACACTATATACAGTATAGGTTGTATTGTTCATGAGGACTAGTGTCTAACATGTGAAAGAATGAGAATAAAGATGCAAACAAAAGAGGTCAGCAGAAAAAAATGTGTGTACCATGTTTCTAAGGGAGAACCTGGGGTTGAAAGGAAGAAAATGGAAAGAGAAAAAATGAACAGGAAAGAGCAAAAGACAGAGAATCAAGGATTGATCGGGGCTGTGTCTGAGGGTAACTTCCATCATGTGTGAGGGCAGTGAGGTCCTGCAGGTGGTGGAAAAGGGGAAGCATTTCTGGGCTCTCAAATCAGGAACAGAGGGATAAGATGACTGAGGTGGGCTCTGTATGAGCTGCAGTGAATCCTGTGTGTGCACATACCTGTGAGTTCACAGGGGAGCGACCAGGGGCTTCGGGGTGAGCAGTGGGGACAGAGGAGACTGTAGGCCCCGTAGAAAACCAGATGTGCCCCGTGCCCAGCTCTGCACTGGGTTCTCCAAGGTCCATGGGGGAAGTTAGAACACAAAGAGTCTTTCTCAAATAGCCAGTGTCCTGCACTCAAGATGTGACCAGAGGTAGGAGAGCACCTTGGCTCTGTTTTGGGGAAGATCGAAAGCAAGATAAAGTATAATTTAACAGCTCCCTAAAGTCCATGTTAGCCAGGCATCCATCATGCAAGTGAGAAAGGTCAGGGAAAGGTGGGTAGGCCTTGGGATCTGTGGAAAGGCATGAGTGATCCAGTGTCCCCATGTAGGGACATGGGCCCTCTTGGCACAACCCTCACATTTTTCTAAAGAAGCCACACATAGGGATTTTTATTCAAAATCTTTAAATGTTGGCAATTAATATCACAAGTTAGGGGCTATATTCCATCCATGAGTTTCCAATCCATGTCTGAAGTTTAGATGCAAGAACCAGTTTGACTTGTTTAATGAACTACAGGGATGAGGCTATGCTAATCTCAGACACCGTGATTCCTGTCCCTGTGAAGGCATAGAGGGTCCGTTGCTAACCTAAATTCACACGGTCCATTTGTCACACAAATGCACAAGTCTGTAAATCCCTTGAAGAATGTTGTTTGTATGGCACCTTATTACAGTAGTTACCCATTGGGGTATAACAGATGACCCCAATACTTAGTGGCTCAAAACAACACCGATGACCTGACTGTTTCTGTGGCTGTGGATGCCATGCCTGACTCAGGTTGCTTCTGGATAAAGGCTTCATGAAGTTGCAGTCATGCTGTTGGCCAGGCCGCCACCTTCAGTCTTAGCTCCAGCCAGAGTGCCGCTCCTATAGTTCCCTTCACCTCCCCCTCCTCCCCCTTATAGCAGGCATCCTGTCCTGCCCAGCCACTCTCCACCTGCACGCATGCTGCCCAGATGCCCAGAGTGTCTGGAGGGTGGGGCCTTCACAATCTTTGTTGGGATAATTTGCATACTCATTCTTGATTGGCTGGTGGGCATCATGAAGTGACAGTCAATTTCCATGTTTCTCTTTCATTAGTGTAGATCTTTTATATTACATTATTTTATATTATTTATATTATTTTATATTAGTTTCAGGTGTACAACATTGTAGCTTATATGACTTACAAGGTAAGTCATATACGTAAGTATGGTTACTGCCCCGCCCCCCGACAGCTTACATAGTTATTACAACATCATTGACTCTGTTCTGTGTGCTGTGCTTGACATTCCCATGACTATTCTGTAACTGCCAATGTGCACTTACCAATCCCTTCACCCTTGCACTCATCTCTCGACCCTCCTCCCCTCTGGCAAACCTCAGTTGTTCTCTGAGTCTGTTTCTGTTTTGTTTGTTCATTTATATTGTTCTGTAGATTCCACATGTAAGTCGAAGCATATGGCATGTGTCTTTCTCTGTCTGACTTATTTCACTGAGTAAAACATCCTCTAGGTCCATCCATGTCATCGAAAATGGTGAGACTTCATTTTTTTTTTTTTTCTATCATGTTGACCTTGATTCTCCTTCCCAGGCTCCAGCTCCCAAGTCTGCCTCTTCATCCCATTGACACTAGAAGCACAGCCTTTCCTTCTACTCTCAGTCCCCTGGCCTTGATCTTAAAACCCTCTAATCCATCCTCTAATCCGTCCCCCATATCACCTTTGCTATGAGTGCTTGCTAAAATGTAAATTTGTCCTGCTGTAAATCCCTTGTTGACCATGCATTGCCTGCTATTATACTTTCTCTGCCCTAAATCTGGGGTTAGTTCTCCTTTGTGATACTGTTTACTAGTTTGAAATTATCTCCAGCTATTCAAAGGATGGATGCCATAAAGAGTTGAGTACCTACTTTCTTATAACATGGACACAAATGGAAAGATGGCCCCTCAGCAGTAAAGCTCACAGTTAATAGCTATCTTACGTTGCCCACAGTGAGAGCCCTGGGAGTTAATGATGTGACATTCATTTGTAAACTGCAAATTGTCATGTGACCCACAGATTACCCCTGTGGCCCCCAGCAAAAATAATGAATAAGGGCTGGTTCAGTTTCAAGGAGCTTAATGATTGTGGCCAGATGATTATGCATTCATAGGTCATAATAATCTGGCCACTTAGTATATATATATATATATATGCTTTATTATTGATTTTGGAGAGAGGAAGGGAGAAGGAGAGAGTGATAGAAGCATCAATATGAGAGAGAACCATTGATTGGCTGCCTCCTGCAGACCCCCCTGGAGGGACCAAGCCTGAAACCCGGGCATGCGCCCTTGACCGGGAATTGAACTGAGACCTCCTGGTTCATAGATCAATGCTTCACCATTGAGCCATGCCAGCTGGGACCAAGGTTTTTACTCTATACCTTAACATGGTTTAAGGGTGGCTCAGCCCTTTTAATCATGGCATCACCGCCATTGTATAAGTTGTAATGATGCAAAGGTAAGCACTATCTCAGTTTTAAATGAGGAAACTGAGGCTTAGAGAGGTTGAGTATCTTGCTCTAGCAGATATTGTCTTTCTCTCCAAACCCAAGTCAGAAACCTACTTCTCAACTTGGAGAAGTGAAGGAGGGGAAGCACAGGCTTTATTCATACTGGGCACCTGAGCTGTCCATCTCCTTTCAAACTTTCCAACCAAATCTCTTGTGCTCTCCAACAGACCTCAGCTTGACACTCATCAAACTCCAACCTGTTGGTTTCTTTGACCACATGTCCATCTGCTTTTACCTCTGTGGGAGAGAAAGAACCATTTGCTTGAGAGAGAGAAACAGGCCTGGTCCCTCTGTGTATCTCACCCCCTTCTTCTATATATAGCAGGTGTTAGGAGTTTGCTTACAGAATCCGACAGGTGCAGCAGGTCCCTGAGCCCACACTCCTGAAACAACATGTCCCTGGAGGTTGGCCAAGCCCTGTAACTGCACTCACCAGGCACAGCCAGGGTCTCTTCAGCTCCCACTATTGAGCAATAACTCATTGACTGGGCTCCTTAACATTCAAGTCTAAACACTGACAAAACTGTAAAAAGCAGTCAGCCCATGAAATGTTGACTCTGTGTCCGGCAGACATCACCTGCTTCCTGGACTTCCTGGATCCCATCAGCAATGAGTAACAAGGTCTAAGGGCATCATCTTAAGACCCTCATTTGCATGGGGAGTGTCACCAACGAGAAGCAGATGCCAGTCCATCCAATACATCACCTACATTCTCTTTCTCTGATGGAGGAAGATGAGACACCTTCTTGAGTCATGAACCAGGCAGTTTTCAGACAATGATGATGTCTAAGCTGTGTTTTGCCCAAGTTACAGGGTCCCGTGATGGCTGAGAGACATAGGGTCAGCGACCAGGGGAGGCAGCCCTTTTTCCTTCCTTTCTTCATTACCTAAAAGCTGATCTTGTCTATCTCAGTTTCAGAGGTACCTGTGCAGACTCAGGGGTTACCCAGCCCGAAGTCTGAATTATCAAGGCTAGGCTGATGTGGTTGCCAGGTGGGCTTCAGACACTCCAGGACTTAGGAGGAAGGCAGATGCCTGGAAGAACCATGGTGGGCTCCAGTCAGAGCCCAGAAATATGCTCAAGGATGGCTTCCCAGAAGAAGTGGGCCCTTCCTATCGGTGCCTACAACCCGATGGGAGACCCAAGGGCCTCAGCACAGCAGTAGGCTCCTACCAGTCTCCATTTCCCCCTTCAAGTTTGCAATGAACATCTGGCTTAGTGGGTGTGGCCTGTGTGGTAAGAGGCTTTGGCACGAATCACTGGGAACTAGTCATGTTGTCATCACCGTGATATTACAGGAATTGCCACCATGGATCATGGCTTACGCTCCCCATGGCTGTGGACCGGGAACCTTTATAAAGTCCACAGGCACAGCTTCTTGGCCAGTCTCCCGCGCTGTGAGGCCACCAGCATGAGGATCTCTTACCTGGTCTTTGGGTTGCTGCTTCTGTGCCTGGTGCCTGCTCCAGGTAAGCTGGGCTGGGGCACGGGTGGTGAGGGTGGAGGGCATGCCCATCAGAGCTAGCCTCTCCTCATTCCTCAGGACGCTGTAGACCAGGTAGATGTGTTGCATCAATTTTTGTTCCTGATAAGGATCAAGTACCTGAAAGCAGGTTCCCCAACCTTTGTGGATCCACTCTTTTTATTTCTGTGTGGTTTTTTCCCTTTTTTCTTCTTCTTTCTTTAATGTTATTTTGTATTGGCTTCAGGTGCACCAGACAATCATATTCTGTAGAAAGTAACCCCTTAGATGTTCCCCAGCTGGCACCATCCATACTCACCTTGATTATTATTAATGTTATTTCCTAAGCTTTGCCTGCTTCCTCATGACTGCTTTGTGTCACAATTTGTGCTTCTCAGTCCCTTCTCTGCTTACACCAGCCCCCAACCCTGTCCCTCTTAACAGACTAAGTAGCTCCCAACACACACCCTTTAATGAGAAAACTGTTATCCCTGTTAATGAGACATGAAGGAAGTGACACAGACATTTTAGAACCAACAGAAAAGGTTGATTAAATCTGAGAACAGAAGCACAGACTTGCATTGTATTAGCTTGGTGGTGGGAAGGAGGGTCTTTGGGCCGTTGCCAGCCTTCCACATGTCCCCCTTACCCCCATCAGGGATGCTCCCTGTGGCCACACTTGCCAGCACCACATCGTCTATGGCTAAGCTGCAGCCCTTAGATACTTTGTTGAATGAATGCCTGGTGCTGCTTCTACTTTACTCCTGATTTCATAGAACGAGAAAGAAAGATATCTCTCTATATAAAAGTCTAAGTGACCAGCCGACAGGCCAGTAGCTATGAAGCACGATGACCACAAGGGGTCAGACGCTCCAACTGGTAGCTATGATGTGCACTGAGCACTAGAGGGTAGATGCTCAATGCAAGAGCTGCCAAACTGCAATGATTTGGCAGCTGCAGTTCTCAGGTAATACACCAGGAATCAGAGAGGAGGGAGTCCAATTCTGGGGTGCATCACCTGAGAACTGTCCTTTCAAAATTCAGGACCCCTTGGGGGATGTTGGAGAGTGGTTTTAGCCTGATCCCCCAGGCCAGGCCAAGGGACCCCACAGGTGCATAAATCTGTGCACCAGGCCTCTAGTTTAAAAATTAAAAAGTCTACTTGAGGAATTCCCAAAACCTTGCATTTATACCCAAGCCTTCCTAGAACCTTCCCCTGTATTCTGTTCTCTCCTTGCAGGTTACGGAGGGATCATAAGCACAGTGCAAAGGTACTTCTGCAAAGTGAGGAGAGGCCGCTGCGCCTTGGTGAGCTGCCTCCCCAAGGAGGAGCACATAGGCAGCTGCTCAATAAGCGGCCGAAAGTGCTGCCGGAGGAGGAAGTGAAGGTCCTGAGCACGTGGAGAATGTTGTCATGTGCAAAGATGTGGAGTTTATAAAAGCAAAATTACAGTAAATATTAAAAAAACAAAAAACAGAAGTTTGATTGTGTTTATAAAACCCTGGTTTTTGTGGTGGTTGTGACTCCTTAGAAAGTGTCATTGATTCTCCTTTCATTCAAGTCAAGTCTAACCTATAGGGGAATCCGCAGGGACCTGGGCTGAGTTTATCTTTATTGATCATATTATTACAAATGTTCATTTCCCCGCCCCCCTTCATTTCTCCCCTCCACCTGGCTCCCACCCCATCCTCTGCCCTTTCCCCACCCCTCATTGTCCTCATCCATAGGTGCACAGTTTATGTTCAGTCTCTTCCCACACCCCCCTCTCCCCTTTTCCCTGAGAATTGTCAGTTCACTCCTCTTCCATACCTCTGATTCTATTATATTCACCAGTTAATATTGTTCATCAGATTTTTAAAAAAATTTCCTTGGTTTTTAGATTCACTTGTTGATAGTTACATATTTATTATTCATAGTTTTTATCTTTATTTACTTTCTCTTCCGAAAGAACCCCCTTCAGCAATTCATATAATTCTGGTTTGGCAGTGATAAACTACTTTAGCTTTTTTTTATTTGTGAAGCTCTTCATATGGCCTTTGCTTTTGAGTGATAGCTTTGCTGGGTAGATTATTTTTGGCTGTAGATTCTTGCTATTCATCACCTTGAATATTTCTTGCCATTCCCGTCTGGCCTGCATGGTTTCTGTTGCGAAATTAGCTGACAATTGTATGGGTGCTCCTTTATACGTAACTACCTGCTTAGCTCTTGCTGCTTTTAATATTCTCTCTTTGTGTTTTGCTCTTAAAATTTTAATTATGATTTGTCTTGGTGTTGTCTTCTTTGGATTCCTTTTGTTTGGAGTTCTGTGCACTTCCTGGATTTGTAAGTCTATTTCTTTCACCAGGTGGGGGAAGTTTTCTGTCACTATTTCTTTCAGTATGTTTTTGATATCTTGCTCTCTGTCATCTTCTGGGACCCCATAATTCAGATGTTGGTTCACTTGAAGTTGTCCCAGAGGTTTCTTACATTATTTCAACTTTCTGGATTCTCTTGTCTTCTTACTTCTGTGGAAGAGTGTCTTCTGGCTCTTTATGTTCCAAATCTTTGACTTGATTCTTGCGATCTTCCATTCTGTTTTTAGAACTCTGTATAATATTTTTTGTTTCAGACAATGTATTCTTTATTTCTTGTTGATCCCTTATTATTTCTTGTTGATCCCTTTTCATATCTTCATAGGTGTTATTGGCCTCTTCTAGGAAATTCTTGAAAAACCTTATAAGCGTGGTTTTGAACTCTATATCCAGTCGCTTTTTGTTCTCCATTTCTTTCATTTGCAATCTGTTTCCTTGTCTCGGCATTTTCGCAGCTTCCCTGAGTTGGTAGCCTTAAAAGTCTCTGAAATTCCGCCCCTTCATCTTGGAAGGGGCGGAATTTCAGGGTGGAGCCTACAGCCTTGGCTTCTGTCAGCCCCGCCCTATGAGGCTCCTGAGTCTCAGTGTTCCTCAGGGTCCCTGGTACTCACTGCAAGCGCCTCTGAGAGAAAGGCGCCCTCGAGTTTCGCCTGCTACCAAACAGTCTAGACTCTCCCCTAATGAGCCCGGAACTGGGGTTCAGTTCAGTTGGAAGTGGGATTGGAAGTGGGATTCAGAGCAGTCTGGAGCTATTGTCTCCTTCCCACCAGGGCAATCCAGCAGCATAGTCAACCGTCCGTTCTCTGATGCAATGTGCGCGCCTCCACGACTTTCTTTAGCCGCTCCCCTGAGGTTCCGCCTTACAGCCCAGGCTCCCTCTGTATGAGCCTGGGTCCCTGGGTCTGGCCTAGAACTGGGGTTCAGTGCAGTCGGAACTGGGTTCAGCACAGTCCGGAGCTTTTGTCTCCTTTCCGCTAGGGCAATCCAGCAGCAGAGTCAACAGTCCATCCTCTGCGCACAATGTGCGTGCCTCCTTTCGCCACTCCACCTTACAGCCCAGGCTACCTCTGTATGAGCCTGGGTCCCCAGAGTCTGGCCTAATACTGGGGATCAGTGCTGTCAGGTCTGGGGTTCAGCACAGTCCAGAGCTTTTAACTTCTTCCCTCTAGGGAACGCCACCAGGCACTCAGCTGCCCCCTCCTCTCAGGCTCCATCCTCTCCCCATGCCCGCACCATGTCTCCATACCTTAGGCTTTTACAGCTCCTCTGCTTTTCCTTCTGGTTTTCTCTTTCCTTCTTGTTGTAGAATTTCCAGTCAGTCGACTTTCCTGTAGTTCTGGGTAATGTCCATTTTGTATTTTAGTTGTATTTTATTGAAATTGTTGTGTGTGGCTGCGGTTAGGTGTTTACCTTTGCAGCCATCTTGGATCCTCTCCTCGCTTTGCTTTTTTGTCACCCATGTCTGAGCTTCCCATTTTTCTTCCTGATACGGCTCCTCCCCGTGTAACCCATCTCTAGGATGTCAGTGCCTTCTCAGGGGCCCTCTGAGTCTTTGTGAACACCTGACTCTTCCTAAGATTCTCCTGTTTTCTTCTCTGCAATGCCTCTGCTCCAGACTACCTCACACCTGACGTATAAGCTCTCTCCTGGCCTTTCCTCTAAGCTTCACCCCGTCCCTCAGGAGCCATCTCAAATTCTACCTCCTTCTTGACAATGCAGCTCATTTCCTACACAAATGGGATCTTTCCTGTGATTTCCCCATAGGGTTCTCACTGGAGGGCTTTATTACATCATATACGTTTGCATGTTTCCAATCTTTAAGTTTGACACAATTATTAAAGAAAATAAACTTGTCTTTAAAATTTTTATGTTTTTATGATTTTAGAGAGAGAGGGAGGGAGGAGAGAGAGAGAGAGAGAGGAGAAGAGAAGAGAAGAGAAAAACATTGAAGTGAGAAACATCGACCAGTTGCATCCAAAATGCACTCACACAACCTGGGTGCATGCCCTAAAGGAAAACAAATTGGCAATGGTGCATGGGACAACATCAATCCACTGAACTACGCTGACCTTGTCTTCATCAGCTCTGCCTGCCTAGTAAAGGGCCTTGCACCACAGAAGGATTACCTGCTACGGGAACTTCCTTCCACAATTCGAAACTGGAGAACCAGACCCAGGTGCGACCCAAGGGTTTCAGACAGTAGACAGCAAGCAGTGCAGAGCTGTGGTTGATGAGAGAGACAGACAATGTCTCCAGCCTGCTGGATGCCAGGCCCACAGACCAGCAATCCTCTGGGTCAAGGCACCTGAGGTTTCCAGCATCAAGAGGCATCCCCATTTCCGGGGCAGGAAGCTAGAAAGGGACAGCTGGGTGTGGTGGGTGGGGGGAGGGGTGGAGCAGCAGGTGCTTATGAATCTTGGCCCGAGCACTGATCTGAATTCTCTTAGGTAAAACTTCAGGAACCAGAAGAAAACACCCAGCAGGGCTTAGACAAACAAATCCAAAACCACACACAAGGCTGCGAAAATGAATTCCCACCAGCAAAGTGGAGACACCAAGAGAAAGTCGTCAGAAAGCACTAGCATTCATAGCAGGGCTTTTAAACTCTAAATGACAACCTTTTGTAAAACCCTTTCTGAAAGAATCGAGCTGATCTGCAAATAACTTAAATGTGAGCCAAAATAAATCTAACATTCTTTGAAGGAAAACAACAAAGTTTATCACTCAACTAGATAAGCTTATAATAGACTGAATCCAATCAGAAATAGGCTTGCAACAAAACAAGAGAAAAGTCAGTCAGTACAAACAGACCCGCCCCCGTAACAAAGATGATAGGATTAGCAATAGGGGCTTATAAGAATGGTTACAAATCTTATAAATGACTGCAAAGTTTAGGGGGGTGGGGGCGGGAAGTCTCGTCATATTAAGAAGAGAAATGAACCCTACATAGAACCTAAACTAAATATCTGAGTAAAAAGTATACTGAATTGGATTAATGGCATATGACATTACAGAAGAAATAATAAGTAAGCCTGAGCTCATGTTAATAGAGAGAGAGAGAGAAAACGAGAGAGAGAGAGAGAGAGAGAGAGAGAGAGAGAGAGAGAGAGAGAGAGAAGTTCATAGTGAACCTGTGGCAAAATATCAAGCAGTTTGTATATGTATTTGGAGTCAGAAAAAGAATGGGTGAGGGAAGATATAGTTGAAGAAAAATGGCTTGCCATTTTCCAAATCTAATGAAACTATTAAATCAAAACATTTGGTGGTCAAGGAAATCAAGCAGAATAAACATAAAGAAAACTACACTAAGCATATCATAATCAACGTAACTAGTGGGTCAAGAGAAAAATCTCAAAAAGTAGCCTGAGAGAAAGACACATTAAAGACAGAAGAACAAGAGGAGGAATTACAGCAAACTTTTCACCAAATTCTATAAGAGCCAGAATAATATGTGGCAATACCTGCAAGTACCAAAAGAAAAAGATCATTTCTCTTGCTGGTGTGGCTAAGTCAATTGGAATGTCATCCCTGTTCCCCGGAAGTCAGGGGTTCATCCCTGTAAAGGAACATACCTATGTTGCAGATTCCAATCCTGGTTCGGGCACATGTGAGCGGCAAACCAGTTTCTCATATTGACGTTTCTCTCTCTCCCTTCCTCTCTCTCTCTCTCTCTCTCTCTCTCTCTCAAATCAATAAACATATCCTCAGGCGAGAATTAAAAAAGAATTCTTAAAAAGAAAAAGAAAGAAAAACATTGTCAACCTAGTATTCGGACCTAGAAAAATATGTTTCAAGCATAACGGTAAAATGAGCTCTGGGTGATGGGGAGTATCAGTGTAGGGTTATTGGTTGAAGCACTTGTAGCTTTTGGTGGAGGTGTTGATTATGGGGAGGCACTGTATGTTGGGGCAGAAGGTACATATGGGAAAGCTCTGTATCTTCTCAATTTTGTTGTGAACCTAAAACTACTCTAAAAAACAAATTAAAAAAAATTTTAAATTGATTTCAGAGAGGAAGGGAGAGAGAGAGAGAAATAGACACATCAAGGATGAGAGAGAATCACTGATTGGCTGCCTCCTGCACACCCTACACTGGGGATTGAGCCAGCAACCTGAGCATGTGCCACGACCGGGAATAGAACTGTGACCTCCTGGTTCATAGGTCACTGATCAACCACTGAAACACATCTGAGGGGCAGTAAGGTAAAACTTTTTAAACAACAAAAAGGAAGCGAAGAAAACTTCTCACCAGAAAAACTTGCACTATTAAACAAACAAACAAAAAGACCATTTCAGGCAGAAGAAAAATGATCCCTGATGGAAATTTGGCTCCACATCATGGAACAAACCTGGCTACTAAGATTCTAGACAATTAAAGGGACAGGTTGTCAATTCAGTGAAAATAAGACTCAGATGCATGTTGTTGTTTTTTGTTTTTTTTTAAAGAACCATGTGAGATATCAGATAATCTGATAAGACAGATTAAAAATGAAATGATGGAAACAGATATGCTATGGAAATATTAATTTGAAAAGAAAATGGACTCTATTGGCTAATTGGCTATAAGTGAAATAGATTTTAGGATGAAGAGTATTAACAGAGATAAACAGGGAATTTTTTCCCAAAGGTAAGTGGTTAATTCACCAGGAGCACATATTAATACAACTGGGAGAGCTGTCACTGGGCGGTGAAGAAGGAAAAAGGAAATTAGAGAATGCCTCAGGCAGAACCTAAGCTCTAGGAAGGCCGAAGAAGTAACAGATCTGCATCTTGGGCTGACTAGACAAAGCAATGCCACCCTCATTCACCACCTCCCTCAAGGTTAGGCCTTGTTGTCTTCTTTACATTTAAGGTGTAATACCCAAAGCAGCTACACATTCAGTGCAATCCCAATCAAAACTCAAAAGACCACTGTCTGTCTTCTTTGGCCAGATGTTTGTTCAGTTCCTTCGCCCATCTATCAGGTTGTTTTTTTGCTCTTGAGCTCCAAGAGTTCCTTATATATTTAGGATATTAACTCCTTGTCAGATCATGGATTGCAAATGTTCCTCCCATTCCATAGGCTGACTTTTCATGTTGTTGATTATTTCCTTTGCTATGCACAGCCAGCAGGATATGAAAAGATGCTCAATATTGCTATTCACCAAAGCAATACAAATCAAGCCCACAATATTATATCATACCTGTTAGGACAGCTACCAAGAAAAAGGAAAGATAAAGATAACAGCAAGCCCTCACCCCTTTTCCCCAAGAATCATCAGTTATATCTTGCTCTCTCTCATTTTCCAGGACCCCCATAATTTTGATGGTTTGCTTGAAGTTGTCCCAGAGGTTTCTTACAGTGATGTCTCTCTCTCTTTGTCTCTCCCCCTCCATTTCCACTCTCTCAAAAAAAATCAATGGAAATCAAATCCGTGGGTTATGATTAACAAAAAATAAATAAAAAGGTCAGAGAAGTAGCTTTAAAACTTCACTAACTTAGGCGGAACATACTAGTACATAGTAGGCTCTCTCTCACACTCAATTGTTCCATCCCCTTACAGTCAGGAAGGAAGAGTTTTAGGGTCAGGACTACAGTGACCTGCTCCATGCAAATCTGCTTTCCACACACGGAAACAAGGTGGCCACCAGGGCCATGAATCATGGTGACTCCTAGGGAGGAGACCTTGGCCGCCGCCTCGGTCACAGCCATCGAAACTCCCCCTATGATGGCCACCACCATCCCCACACCCTGGGGCAACCTGATTTCTGGAAGCATATCCCCGCCAGGTGTCACCAGCATCTGTCAACCTGGCATTTAAATGACAGATAGAGGGGACGTGACCAGATTCTACTCCTTCCTCCCAAGTCGTCTTAGAGCACTCATCAGAAATGACCCTGGCCCTGGCCAGTTTGGCTCAGTGGATAGAGTGCCAGCCTGTGGACAGAAGGGTCCCGGGTATGATTCTGGTCAAGAGTTCTTCCCCAGCCTGGATCCTGGTTGAGGCCTGTGCAGGGATAACCAATCAATGTGTTTCTCTCATATTGATGTTTCTCCTTGCCTCTCCCCATCTCTTCCACTCTCTAATAATCAATTTTTATCTCGGGTAAGGATAAAAACAAATAAATTCATAAATGGAAAAAAAAAAAAAAGACCCTGTATTGCCGGCCAAATTGATAAGCAACACTTGAGTGTATTCTCTCCAGGTGATTATAATGTAGGTTACATGTCTATTGGACTAAAGAGGAAGGACTCACCAAGAATGCACCTTCCTTTGCTTCTGAAAAAGCTATCCCCTGAGCACGGGACACTGGGCTCCATCCAGTCCCTGGGCCACTGTTGCCTTCACTGGGTCTCAGAGCAAGTGTGAAGTTGTGGGAGACAGTGAAGACCTCGTAGAGCCTGGGGTCCTGGGTGCCTTCAGAACGGGGTCCCACTGACAACGGGAGAGCCTGGAGCAGCTGCCATTCCCACATGGAGTCCCCCAGGATCCCAGGTCTCAGGGCCATGAGAGCTGATGGGTCTAAGAAGAGCACAAACCATGGGCTCTCAGCACTGGTGCAGGGAGGGCTGGCTGTAGCCTGTGTCCAAAGGACCCCAGGCTGACAAGTGACCCCAAGGCCGTACTTGCTTTGTGACACGGAGACTATGGAGCCAGGTCTGTCCCCATTGCATCTCCCTTCCTTTCTCTGAGGAAGAGATACAGGACCTCCCTGCCCCCTCACCTGCCTGGGGCAATGCTAAACTTTAGGAGATTGTCCTGAATGTTACCCTCATGGGCACCCAGGGAGGCTTGCGACCCATGTCTCCTATCCTTCCCAGTGATACCGGCCTAGTTCCTGGTGTGGCCTGAGACTGTCCCCAGATGCTCAACAAATGAGAGGCAGGCAGATTCAAAGGCCCTGGGCTGGCAGTTGAGCTCCAGAAAGTTGCTTCCCACATGGAAAAGCCTGGCCTCAGTCTGTGCCCCATCTGTGCTGGGCAAGTCAGAAAAACAGAAAGACAGGTTCCCTGGGGTTTTCCCATACGGACTTGCAAGAAACGATGGGTATGCCCTGTGTTCCAAGGCCCTTCTTGTGACACATGGGGCAGGCGAGAGGAACAATTTAATTGCACAGGTTGGCTGCAGCCTTGGGATTCCCAAGGCTGCAGCCAACCTGTGCCCTTTATAAGGAGTGAAGCTCGGCTCCCTCAGTCTGCAGTTCAGTTCCTGGCTCAGCATGAGGCTCCACCTTCTCCTGCTTGCGTTCCTCCTCATGTTCCTGATGCCTGTCCCAGGTAAGAGGGCGGATAGACAGACAGGACAGGACTTCTCTCTCAGTGCTCCCCTCCCTCCCTCTCCATCTCACTCTCTTCTCTCTCTTCTTTTTCTACACACACTGTGGATCAGAGACTGAACTGCTTATGAGATGTAAGAACCCCACCTATCGCTATGGATGCAAGCCCAGAGTTTGATCCTGCAGGGCACACTACTCTGCACTCCCGAAGGCGCTAGCAAGGGCATGCCTGCCAGTTCACCTCTGGGCTCCAGGACCAGGTGCTTCTAACAGGGACACCTCGGTCAGCTGGCTTTTCTTATTCAATAAAAGCAAGAAATTATGCCCTACCTAGTTACTCAAGGGTTGTGGGTTCAATTCCTGGTCAGGACCACATACTCTGTTGCAGGCTCCATCCGTGGCCTGGGACAGGGCACGTGAAGGAGGCAAGCAATAGATGTGTATCTCTCATATTAATGTTTCTCTCCCTCTTTCTCTTTCTCTCTCTCTCTCTCCTCCCCACTCCCTCTTCCACTCTTTCTTTAAAAAAACATTTTTTTTTTAAATTTGGTTCCAGCTCAGAAGTGCAGAGTGTCTCTGTACAGATCTTTATACTAAAGTGGGAGTCTTTGGTAACCCAGAGAATAGCAAGGCCCAGCCTGGACTGGGGAGCCACTGTTTGGGGCACCTCTGTGCCCCATCTTCCCAGCTCAAAGGTCCTCTGGACATACTCCTGCCACCACTGCTCTTGGCACAGTGGCTCTGAAACCTGGATGCCAGCATTGTCCTTGCTCCTTTGCATTAGGGAAACAGACCAGGAGAGGAGGGAGGGAGAAGCGGGAGGCACAGAATAGACCTTAAATTATGGTCTTGTTTCATCTGTTTTCTTCTTGGCTGTATTCCAAGACAAGCCTTAGCAGGGAGGGAGGCGGGGAGGGGGGGGGGAGGACATGGCCTGGGGAGGTGGGAGGAGCAGAATGATGAGAGAGAAGGTGAGAAGAGCCTCCTGGGACGGCCAGGGCCTATGAGAGCCAGACCAGATCAGAGTGAGAGACACCATCACAAAAGAGGGTTAATGACACATATTCTTATTGATTTCAGAGAGGAGGGGAGAAGGAGAGAGAGAGAGAGAGAGAGAGAGAGAGATAGAGAGAGAGAGAGAGAGAGAGAGAGAGAGAGAGAGAGAGAGAGAGAGAGAGAGAGAGATTTCAATGATGAGAAGGAATCATGGATTGGCTGCCTCCTCAGCGCCTCTCCTGGGGGATGGCGCCAGCAACCCAGGCATGTGCCCTTGAGTAGATTTGAACCTGAGACCCTTCAGTCCGCAGGCTAATGCTCTTATCTACTGAGCCAAACTGGCCAGGGCATGAAAGAGATTTTTTAAACTATCCTTATTTTCCCTGTGAGGCACTTAGACATTATGTTCTCCTTAAACAATCCTTGTATCTGAAGAGGCATCTCAGCTCCAACACTTCACTGAGGAAATGATGGAGTAACACTGACTCCTGCTGGCCATGTCCCATCCTAAAAGCACTGGCCTGCTGTCACCTTGACTTCCTGGCCACTATCTCTTTTTGAGGAACGGAAATGGTACGAACTCTTGTCCACCTGTCCTGTCACTCAGCCACCACTCAGAGCCTGTCAACATTGGTTCTGGCAACTTAAGAAACCTCTCTTACCTCAGCAGTTCTAGTCTCTGTGGGAAGACTAGATCCTAGTGTCACAACCTCACCTCTTCTCACCTCTATGGCATAAGCGCCGCCCGAGGTTTCACTCCAGGGACTCTGACACCACGGGCCTCTCTGAAATGGGGCTTTGATGTCCGACTCTCTTACCTTTTTTATTTTCATTTTAGGCTTTGCTCGGCTTGCTGGTCGTAGTTGCAACGAGAAAGGTGGAATCTGCATGGCATTTCGTTGCTCTCGAGGTAGACGACAAATAGGTGGCTGCCGCTTCCCAGGAATCAAATGCTGTAGCGTATAGCAAGTGGTGATGAAGAAGCTGCAATCACTGACGATGGCAAAAGCGTTTCTTCACAAAGATGTGACATTTAAATAAAATTTACATTAGACTCAGAATCTCGCCCTCATATTCTGGAGGCTACTACGCGGTGCGTGGTCACACAGGCCCATCTCTGAAACTCGGAGGGGCCCGTTCAGGCTCCCCTGCGGACCTTCAGGGACCCCCATGGAGGACCTGTTGTGCTTTTCAGGTTTTTGGTGCCCTTAGAGTCACCTGAGCTCCCCAGTCCTCCCTGTGCATTCCTAAAAGGTGCATTCTGCGTTGCTTCTCTCGTCCTGCATGCCCTCACCTGCCCCACGCACTCAACACGGGCCTCCCTTCCCCAGTCCCCACCAAACACCTCCTCCTCGGAACATCACTCCTGATCCCCACAGGAAGTGGCCCCTCCCTCTTCCACACTGCCCCAGTGCTCACTTCTTTTTGGCCCACAGGTCTCAATCGCTTGGGTCATGTTCTAATTATCCACATGGCTACAAACCTGTTCAGGGAGTGGACTATATCTTGTCACTTTTTTTTTTTTTTTTGAGCAGTCTTTGAGAGAAGCCCTGCCTCAAGCATTGTTATCTGTCGAATGGCAATGCGGAGGTGGACAAAGTGCTGCCTCCAGATGGGAGTCAAGAAAGCAGTCTGTTGAAAGTCCAAGGAAGTGCACTCTGCTTTCTAATTTTATTTTCGGGCACTTCCGCACAGCAACCATCCATCCTTAATCTTCAGGTTTTCACAAAACCTCCTTTCACTCAATGGCTCTGTGGTCATCAAACCTTGGGAACTGGGGGAGCCTCTGTCGTGCTTGGTGCAAAACTACAGAAAGGAGGGTGGTTGCCAGTAGGAAATGGGTGGGAATCGCTGAGAAGGTCATGGAGAAGATGGAAATGGGATATGGACACAATGTGAGAATAAGCACCAATCAGAAATCCTGAGAGATGCCTATTTACCTGCATAATAGGGGCTGCTGCTTTACTTGAATTGGACATAAAAGGCTGATCTCAAGGGTTGTTACCTGGCATTTTTGCCTTTTGCCTCCACTCCCCTTCTGCATTTGGGGTACCTTGTGTTTTCCAAATATGCTTCTCCATAGCCTTGCTGTTCTCCCATCAAGAGGCAGAGACTCTGTGCCCTTCTCTGGGAGATCCTGTGTCCTCCCTGCGAGACCCTATCCCCATCCTGAGCTGGCCTTTGGGATCATCTCAACCAAGAGGATGGCAAAAGGGATGCCAAGGAGACTCTGATGGCCCCAAGCTTTCATCTGGCTTGCTCTTTCCCTGGACACATGCCACCCCTCTTTCCCTCTGGTAACCTCCAGACCAAGCATGTCAAACTCGTGGCCCAAAACAAATATTTTTACAGCCCAGTCAATATAATGGTATGTAAGACACATGTTAATAAAAAGTTCGTAACTTAATTTTTACTATATCCTGATATATATATAGTCTAAGCAAGCATTACAACTAAATGACGGTTGACCAGTAGCTATGACGTGCATTGACACCAAGGGGCAGATGCTCAATGTAGGAGCTGCCCCTTGGTGGTCAGTATGTTCCCATAGCCAACCTTCTGGGGCCTGCCAATCTCCCCTGGCCAGCCTGATCTGCCCTCATCAGGACTGGGCAAGATGGCCCCCATCAGACCAATTGCTGGTCAGGCCAAGGGACCCCACCTGTATACAAATTTTGGACTCTAGTTATTAATAATGAACTGCAATATTGGCTAATAACTTATTATTATAATTGTGTTGCATTCATTTCTTTTACACATCTTACACAAAGGTGCACCATTTCTCTCCACTAATACTAGCAGTGAATATTTTAGCAGTTGATTACCACGTCATTAGTCTTGGACTGACTTGTTTGGTGTGAGCAATAGGAAATATTTCACTTTCAGAGAACAAGAAAAGATAGATTTATTTGCATTACTCTTATTATTTTGTGCAGTTATTCAGTGTCTGGTAAGTTAATATTCAAGAAAAAATATTAATTTTTATTAAGATGTTCTATTATTTTATATTAATGATTATTCATTTATTTCATCCCTTTGTATTCACCATGTCTATTGAAATAAACCTCCATTTCTATGAAAATTGAAGCTTCTGGTTTTTTTTACGGCCTACACAAACTTAAACTTTATTTGGCCCATGTTAGCCTTGGAGTTTGACATGCTTGCACTGTCTGTGTCCATGAGTTTTTGTTGTTTTCAATCTTATTTCCCACATATGAGTGAAATTCATCTCATTGGTTTTGCTGTGATAATCTAATATTCATGTTTTACATCCCATGTATTCTTTATTTTAGTTCATTTTATTATCACTTAACTAGTATTTGATTTTAATTATAATTTGTTTTGACTGTTTATTTGACATTTATTATCTTCTTCACTGGAATTTTAATTATTTGTTCTAATTTCTATCCTACAGAATCTGGTAGTTTTATTGCCATAACATGCCCAAGTGCCTTATTATGAGTCTCGCATAGGAAAGATGCTCTTCCCACCAGTCAGCAGAAGAAGACGTCTTTTCTATGAATCATGAACAAATGGGCTCATGCTCCAGCCCAAGGCCAACCTTTCATTGAGTCCTGGATCCCTTCTCTTGCTGACAAATGGACAAGACTCACCTGCTCTCTGGAAAAACTAAACACACCTCTTCTTTGACTATCGTTCATCATCTATTGCTTCTTATCTTTGCCAAGTTTTTTTTAGCAAAACCTTTTGGAAGGAGTGTCTGCACCGTCCCCACCTCCCCTCATCCAGCTCTCAGAGATTTGATGCCACTCAAGTCTGACTCGTTCCCATCTCTCCACCAACGAGATCATAATGCACCCTGCATGACCTCACTCAGTCCTTCTTCTGCCCATTGTTATCTAACCTGGCCCCTAGTTGTGTGGCCATGGGCAGCTGCCTTAGGGGTCCCTGCCAGAGGGATAGGCAGCAGACCACCTGAGAAGAGTGAAGGAACCCATTGCAAGGTAGGTTTTTAGGAGAACCATACATGGTAGAAAAAGCGGTGGGACTATAAGCCTAACATCTAGGGAATCTATAAAAGTGATTGCTTTCCGTTTACGAGCATGGGGGATGAGAATGTGGACAAAAGCTTTCCATCTATACTTTCTTTTCTATTATTATTATTACTAGAGGCCCGATTCACAAAGATTCGTGCAAGAATGGGCTTTTCTTTCCCTGCCTGCTGGCACTGCCTTTGCTCTGTCCTGGAGCCATCTTTCTACTCTGGCTCAAAGCTACCTTTCTGCCTTCCCATGCTGCCCAGAGGGCCCGAGTGGCTGGGGTGGTGCAGAATGCCTGTGTCATCGCCATAGCAATGGTGCAAGTGTCCTGTCCTGCCCCACCACCGCCACTTGGCACATATATATGTATATTAACCCACCATCTTTTTTAAAAATATATATTTTATTGATTTTTTACAGAGAGAAAGGGAGAGAGACAGAGAGTTAGAAACATCGATGAGAGAGAGTCATTACTCAGCTGCCTCTTGCACGTCCCCTACTGGGTATGTGCCCACAACCAAGGTACATGCCCTTGACCAAAATCAAACCCGAGAACCTTCAGTTCATAGGCTGATGCTCTATTCACTGAGCCAAACCGGTTTCAGCTAACCCACCATCTTTGTTGGGTTAATTTACATACTCACTCCTGATTGGCTGGTGGGTGTTGCAAAATTATGGCAAATTAGCATGCTACTCTTTTATTAAGTAGATGATGATGATGATGCTGATAATGATGATTAAATTATTATTTTTGGAGTCAAGAAAGTAAAAGCCTCACAGCTACAATGTAGAATTTTATTAAACAGATTACTACACTTAGTCCATTTCTAGGTGAATATCACCAAACTACAATAGGTATCTATTTAGTGAAAAATTCAGATGCTGATGCAAAGATTCAGAAGCCTCCTTTAAACTTTGCTCCAGTAAGAGAGAATGGGAGAAATTGTATAAACATATACATCCATGGCTCCATATAATAAGTGAAGTTTAGTGGGGAATTGGGTGTACTTACTACAGTTCTAGGTTCTTCCTTTTTTTTTTTTTTTTTTTTTTACCAATTTTATTTTATTTTATTTTTTTTTCCTTAATTTTTATTGTTCATATTAATACAAATGTCCCTTCCCACCCCACCCTCTGCCCTTTCCCCACCCCCCATTGTCCTCATCCATAGGTGCACAGTTTATGTTCAGTCTCTTCCCACATCCCCTTCTCCCCTTTTCCCCAAGAATCATCAGTTCACTCCCCTTCCATACCTCTGATTCTATTATATTCAACAGTTAATATTGTTCATCAGATTTTTTTTTTAATTTCCTTGGTTTTTAGATTCACTTGTTGATAGTTACGTATTTGTTGTTCATAATTTTTATCTTTATTTACTTTCTCTTCTGAAAGAACCCCCTTCAGCAATTCATATAATTCTGGTTTGGTGGTGATGAACTCCTTTAGCTTTTTTTTATTAGTGAAGCTCTTTATCTGACCTTCGAATTTGAGTGATAGCTTTGCTGGATAGATTATCTTTGGCTGTAGGTTCTTACTATTCATCACCTTGAATATTTCTTGCCATTCCCGTCTGGCCTGCATGGTTTCTGTTGAGAAATCAGCTGACAATCGTATAGGTGCTCCTTTATAGGTAACTATCTGCCTAGCTCTTGCTGCTTTTAATATTCTCTCTTTGTCTTTTGCTCTTGGAATCTTAATTATGATTTGTCTTGGTGTGGTCCTCTTTGGATTCCTTTTATTTGGAGTTCTGTGTGCTTCCTGGACTTGTAAGTCCAATTCTTTCCCCAGGTGGGGGAAGTTTTCTGTCACTATTTCTTTCAATATGTTTTCGATATCTTGCTCTCTCTCATCTTCTGGGACCCCCATAATTCTGATGTTGGATCGTTTGAAGTTGTCCCAGAGGTTTCTTACATCATCTTCAATTTTCTGGATTCTCTTGCCTTCTAGCGACTGCAGAGGAGTATC